TGGGCTTCAAGCAACGCATCTTCTTGTAGGTCATTCGATGCGTTTTGCACGTCTTGCAAAGCCTTCTCAAGATTTGAGGCTAGTTCTTCAAGATTGCCCGACATTTCCTCAATCTCAGAGGGTTTACCAGTCAGATTTACAATATACTTAATCTTACTCCTAATCGCGGTCGAGAGGTCTGCACTTACAAAGCCGCCCCACGCGCCGACAACATGCAGAATTTCCGATCCGAGAGCAATCACTCTCGAATGAAAGGTATCATGTGTTTGCAATAAAAGTTCCAACGATTCAGTACTCTTACTAGTATTGTTTGTTGAATCGATTACTGGGCTGAAGATGTCTTCGAATAATTTCTGCAATGGTTTTTTCGCACCAGCAAATTGATTCAACACGTCAATAATTCTGAATTGGATTCCCTCAAAGAATTCGAAAAAGTAGTCAACTATAATACTGCGGAAATCCAATTCCATAGACGCAACGTTTGTATCATTCAAGCTAATGTTTAATATAAATTTTTCAGCAAACGAAGTAATTGTTTCTTCGAGGGTTCCTGTAGATAGATCTGTATTTATTTTACTAACTTTTTCAACTACTTTTTTCCCTATATTCAGCAAGTCTCCTGCTGCATTTCGGGTTGCTTTTTCAGTACCATTTGCTAAGGGATGAGACTTCACGAGAGTCTGCAAAGTCGTATTTCCTTGTGTAATGAACAGCTGGCCTACAGAAGCAAAAGCAGCTAAAGATTTCTCTATAAGAAGAACAAAACGAATTATAGTCTCACGAGCGAACACAGTAATAATATTAATGCTGTTGTTTAAATTTTCTAGAGAAGAATTAATATTTTCTTCCATATACTCCAACTGTGTTATTATATTCTCGAGGATATGAGAGATGCCAGGAAGTTGACCAACGCCTCGTAGTTCATCAACTAGAGATACAATGAATGAAAGAAGCTCTTGAATATCATTCACTATGGATCCTATTTGTCCTGTTTGAATGGACTGCAAAATACTGTTAACCTCGAATGTAATATTACTTACAAGAGTCTCAATCAATTCACTACCTATTGATGGAATAGTGTTGACTGTCTCCAAAATCTGAGTGATAACTACAACAATTTTGTCTACGGCATTATTCCGTAAATCAAAAGCGTCTATTAAACTTCCATTTACATTTAAAATATCATTTCCCGTGATAAAAATGACCAATTCATTACTTAATTCAATAAAAATATTGACTGCTTCATTCAAATTAACAAAATATTTATCATAGAATGAAATAAGAATATTGATATCTGAGACCCAGGATAAAATTATAAAATCAATTTCCCTCGAAGTTGTTTCAATAGACGTATTAATCATTGAGAGAATATTTGTAACAATTTTTGCCACGAGAGTTTCTAACGATAATAGAGTATCTTTTTTGCTCAAAAGCACAGACATGACCTCTTCTACACTAGAAAGCAAGATATCCAAAATTTGTTTTAGACTAGTGCCAAACAATCCACCAATAAACTGCGATAAATTATCCAATTCCGAATTAATTTGCAGGGTTATTTCAAGACCATAAGAGATCAATCGGTTCAATTCAATACTAAGTAAATCAGTGACGCTGGAATACGATGACAACACAACTGTTGAAACAGCATCTTGGATATCAGCAAAAAGACCTTGAACTAAAGAGAGATTTTCAATGAGATTCTTCACAAGAACGATTAAATACCTTACCTCGGATTCCCCAGAAATTGATTGTAGATATTTTAGATTACCCTGTAGATTAATAATAAGTCCCTCAACTACTTCAAACACTTGAGTAAATCGAGAGTTGGTGATAGCCTCAATTAGAAGATCCAGTTTGACAGACACATTTGTTGAAATGTCTTTAACCAAGGAGTTATTAGAAGACATAGATGTCTCAACAAACAGTTGTAGAGACGGGATAAAAATCTTCACTTCCATTATAGCAGTCTCTGCTATTTCGCTTACTTTATTCAAAAGTACTAGAATGCCACGGGCTCTGTTTTCCGTTAGAGTTGTGTTTACATAAGAAATGATATTATCTTGTAGATTTAAGGAATATTTGATTTTGCTTAAAGTACCGAATCCCTTGTAAATTGAAACTTGCCACATAGATATCCAAGTATTGAACGATGCCTTCATATCCTCTATGATTTGCTGCAATGTCTGGTCTGTTAGAGTACCGTTGCTATAGTAAGAGATGATAATTCTAACTTGTCTGGTAATTTCAGTATCAAGAGATGACGCGAGATCACCAAGATAGGTTTGCAATTGCGTGAGAACGTCTTGTACTCGTGACCGAATTGACTGAAGGGTATTGGTCAGCACTGTACCCAAATCTCCTCCAATGGCTTGCGTGACTGCTTCCAGCGACACCTCAACTTGAGCCGAGAGTTGTAAACAAACGTTTATCAAGGCTTCATACTGCTTTCGCAGTGCTTCGTAGATGTTAGAAAGTGTAGTTTTAACTGCAGTGTTCAGGACCAGTTCAATGTCAGCGAAAAGCTTTTGCGCGTTTGTGAGTTGGTTGATAAGATTTTTCACCAACGCAATCAAGTGCGTCACTTCTGCTTGCTCTGGCACGTTCGCTAAAGCGTTCAGTCCCGACTGGAAGATGACAAGGAACCTCTGAACTATTTGTACAATTATCGTAAACCGGGTATTGGTGATGGCTTCGATGAAGACGTCCAGTTCGACAGAGAGAGTGGCCGCAAACTGTTTGAAGGAAGTGTAGTTGAAAGAGTTAGCAAGGTCGATAACGTCTTTAATAGTCGGTATGGATGCCTTCAGTTCCTGGATTACATTGTCTGACAGTTTTTCCAATTGTGTCCATAGAAGTTGAATGTTAGACGATCCCTCTTCGGATAGGATATTTAGGTAAGACGTAATGATCGTCTCTTGTGTGTAGAGGTTATTACTGAGGCTAATGAGGTAATTGAATGTTCGTGAAATTATTGTCTGTAAGTTTGATAGCCATGCAGTTAATGATAAATTAAGTAGTTCAGTAATTTGCGAGAATTGCTTCTCTGTTAGAGTACCATTACTGTAATAAGAGATAATAATAGTAACAATTTTCGTGACTTCAGTGTCTGCTGATGTGGTGATTTCCGTAAGGGTTGTATTCAGTTGTGTTACTGTGTCTTTCGCCCTTCCAAGAAGTGATTGCAAAAATGTCGAAAGAACATTTCCAAGTTCTCCGGCAATGTACTGCGTGACGGAGTCTAATACCCTTTGAATACGAGTAATGAGTTGAAGTGCATCCGATATCAAATTTTGGATCTGTAGTTGCTCTAATATGGTGATACTGGAAAAAGTTGTCTGAACTGCTGTTTTTAGAACCAGCTGGATATTTCGGAAAACATCTTGCACAATGATAAGTTTTGCAATGAGATTTTGTACGTTGACCCTAAAATCTTGTAATGCGGTTTGATTTGGCTCGTTTTCTAGTGCATTTAACCCGTCTTGCAGGACGACAGTGAGTCTCTCTATTATCTGTTCTGCTTCAAGGATTTGTAAATTTGACTTTACATGTGAAAGGTTGTCGAGTTCGACGGTGACGTTGGCCGTTAATTGTGTGACGGCAGTGATGTTAATGTATGTCGCCATTTGAAGAACGTTATTAATGTATAAGATGATACTTTCTACTTCTAGAAATGCAGCTCCTACTAATTCGTCAATCTGATTTAGTAGTCCGCGTATGTGAAGTGTTCTAATTCCGTTGATGCTGTTTAGTTGGGCCTGGAGTGTTTGGCTGAGCTTTATTAGCAGCTTGGGAGTGAGTTGTATGCCACTGAGTTCGTTTACTAATTTATTTATTGAATTTTGAATTTGGCTTTGTATTTGGGTAATATTTTGATTTTGAGACTTTTCATTGAATGTTATTTGCCGAATGGTTGTAATTGTTTGATTCACAAGAAATTGTATTCTGATTGACAGTAATGTTAAGTACTGTAGTGCCTTGTTACCTGCTGTAACAATACTTTGTATCATTTTTTGAAGTTGATACTTTAAATTTTCGTTTAGTGTTTCAGTATTTTTTATATTTTGAGCAACTTTTTGACAACTGTTAATTATTGTTTTTATGAACTGTAACACATTTTGAATAATAGTTTGCATAGGATTGCTTAATACACTAATTAATTTTTTTATTTGATTTTCAGCTGAATGAGTAATGTTATTGATTTCGTTGAGTGTGTTTTCGATGTCTTGGTACAGAGATTTGAGTGCGTTTATTAATTCTTGTGCATTTTTTCCTCCCATATGTTCAAGATCTTTTAATACATTTTGTATATACGTTTGCACTTGCAGTAATACGTTTATTGTCAATTGAATATTTTCGTTCTGAATACAGATCTTAATTGTTTCCGCTTCTTCAAATATTATTTGTAAAATATTCTTGAAACTTGTATTATTGAGTTTACTTATTTCATTGGAAAACTGTAACATTTGGTTTAGTAATACCGACACATTTCTGAATACTTCTTGTTTCAGTTGTAATATTTCGTTAACTGTTTCGTTCAATTTCAATGTAGTGTTGCTTTCTTGGATATTTAGTAGTTGAAAAGCAATTTCTGTTTGTATTTCAAGTCCTTTCCTGTACGTGAATACAAAATATTCTATGTATTCGACTTCTGTTTTTAGTTTGAACGACAGTGCTGATAGGAAGCTCTCTAAACTCATCACAATTTCCATAGCTATTTGGGTACTGTTCGTATTTTGTGATGCGTCAAAATTTGCCGTAATGAGCAATCTAATTTGCTGCTGTAGAGTATCGAGTGATTTGTTCCAATCCGACGCAATAATGTCGATCTGCCGTTCACCATCTTTTCCGGCTGCAATGGCAGTCTCAGCCGCCTTTCTTAGAGCGTCAGCGACTTCTGAACTAACCTTTACATCACCGCTTGATAGCTTCTGAACGACCCGCTGCCCTTCCTCTATAAGCTGTTCGCAGTTCTGAGTCAGGCTATCTACCTGTTCGTAGACGGTGGCGTTGACTTGCTCTGCCACCTTCTGAGCGGCGCCGTCCGCGCTGCTGATTGCCTGCAGCACGGCGTCCAAAGCCGCGCTGACGTTGGCCTCCACGTCGTTGAGCCGTGCGTCCAGCTGCTGGCACGCCGGGTCGCTCTGCGTCTGCTGCAGGGCCTCCTGCACGTCGCCCTGCTGGTGTTTGAGCTCGCCCACCAGCCGCTGCAGCGCGGGCCGGGAACTGCCGTTGACGAGGCCCGCGGCGAGAAGCGCCTCCCCTTGCAGGTGCTCCAGCAGGTCGTGGCCGAGACACGCGTCCTGGTCGCGCCCGGAGTCTCCCAGCTGGAGGAGCTGGGCGGCCGCCGCAGCCACGCCTTCGCGCGCCGCTTGCAGCGCCGGTGCGCCGTCGGAGAGAGCCGCCGAGACGATTTGGACGCTGGCGGCAACGTCGATGGAGACGGACACCTGGCTAGATGCGGCGACGGAGGTGTTGGACTGAGCCGCCGCCGAGATGGCGCAGGCTACGAGGACGGCCAGGAAGGCCGCTGGATGCGCGGAGGCCATGTTGCCAGAGGTCGTCCGCCGTCCAGGGTATGAGCGTGTGCGAGGGAACGGCTGGTTTTATTAGCGGCGGGCGGCGTCCGCGGGGGAGAGAGGCGGTCCGCCCACGCGCCTGATCAGCCCTGCAGTCCGTCTATCGGCGCCCCGGAGGGGGTCTTGGGAGATTCGATCCAAGTGCCCACTCGCTGCCCCCTCCCCCCGCCTTCGGCCCCGATATCGCTCTTTATGCACAAAAGCAACCATCGCCGTGACCGCCGTCGCCGCGATACCGAAGGAGGAAGAGAGATATCCCCTCGTGGGCGACGTTGCCTTGAGGGACAAGGCGCTGCAGCGGAGGACATGGGAAGGGTACGTGGTGCATGAACTTATTCATCTTCGAGTACTCGTGGTTCTCCTAAAGAACGAGATGCGAGGGTCCCATTTTGTCGGGAGAAATAACAATGCGCAGTACACATATTTTGTGAAAGAACCACGGAGCAAACAGAATTAGCGAGCAGAATTATCTCCTCCTTTTATTCATTTTCTACTTCTTTCTTCTTCACCCTTCGGTAAATTCTACTTATTGTCGTCTGTTTTTCTCTTGCTCTTTATCCGAGTTCATACTTACGAGAAGTGATATTCAGGTGACCCAAATTTATTCTGTGATTGTTTTGCATCGAATAGATCAAAGCACGCTTATAACAACAGGATGAAAAGTTCCCGTTTTCATTAAAGCCTCCGAAATGTCGAAAATTTAAAATGTTTTTGACGTCCTCATACATTCTTATTATTAAAGAAGGACATTCGTAAAAAAATGTGCTTCAAAAGAAGACCTTCAAATAATATCAGGAACAATTATTTAAAACTATACATTTTTTGCGTAATTTTGAGTGAAATAGTTAAATTAAAAACATATGAACAATATTTCTAAAAAGCTGCTCTAGATTTTTTAGAAACATTCTCTGCTTGAATACAGCATGCAAATTGGTTCGATTTTCATGAAAACATTAAAAATTACAAATATTGAAAAGTTCACATTTTTTCGAACTTGTTCAATTCCACTTTTTCGATATTGAAAATAAAAACGTGTATTTCCGTTGAAATATCGAAATCGATTTTCCGCAGCATTACCAACACCACGTATATTACCAGGTATATTCGTATGTATACAAGAAAGTAAAAGTTCCTTTCAGCTACTGATTTTGGATTCTCTTCATTTTTAAATGATAAATCTAAATCATCAAAAATGCTAGACACTTCTCAGAGAAAAATAAAAGAATTCCTAGTTTATTCGTTATAACATAATTCTATGTTCATCTACACCAGTTGAATGTTTTCCTTTCCAGGTTTTATACATTCACCAACTAGATGTTTATTGTCTGATGATTTGTTTCAAACATTACTTGTGTTATTAGGAAATTCCATTTCTTTGTTGTAGACATATTTTCGATATTTTATATTTGAAAATGTTTATCATATTGCTACAATACATCACAATAGTTTATTTTTAGAAATTTGTATGAATGGCAATTACTAATTTACTGTAATTGATTATTACAATATTTTGTTGCAATAAAAATATACAAAATTATTACATATTTCCAGTATTTTGAAGATTTGAAACACGTATGTTTTTGGACATTAACTCCTAATGTATATTCTGTATGTATTTAAATACTTATTTATAAAGTATTTTGGTGATATATTTAAATACTAAATTTAAAGTATTTTTCCCAACCCTGGTAATGAGCTTTACAAAAAATGATTGAGTTGTGTTAATCCGGTGAGAAATTGTGGGATAAATAGTATTATATAACTATTAGTAGACACCGGATTTTTATGTAATTACATTTTTTTGCCTTTTTACTTACCGTTTTCAAAACTGTAATCTTGGCGAATTGTCGCCGTTCTAACACAACAACAAACGTTTCCGTTGTATATTTTTACTGTATTACATATTTTACTAATTTTGCTATTTTCACAAAATAGTTTTTATTTTATGAATTTTGCTCTGTTATTGATATTTTTGATGAAAATATGTATTTTTTTAATCGGATTTTTCCTAGAATGGTTCTGGGAACTGTCGAACCAAGATGTTCTTACAGTGTGGCGCGCCTGCTATAGTTGTCTGTGACGAGTGCGCTTCATTGACACATTTTCATCTTTCGGGGTAAAAAGTGCCACTGACGCCGAGATGTTTAACATTAAGTTCCGAGAAACTTTGGCGATCGCCAATGTGTAACACTTTGATAAGAATGCTGCTCGCTGCAGTGATTGCTGGTCGTAGATATCGCCAGTTTGTACGATGGCTTCTATTGCGTCTAGTCTGGCTGCTAAACTACCGTCCTGGATAACACTAGACGAAACTTTTATTACTGACAGGAAAATTGTATGGTGAAAAATATGCATTAACTGGTGGTCCCCAAATAATTATTGAAACGTTTGTATTATTTTTTTAAATTGTTTCGGAAATTTTTGGGAAATATAATTTTATATTAGGTAAATGTGTTTTATAATCAGTGTATTTTAATATTTTACATTATATCTGATTTGACATATTTATTACAGAGTCTCTGTTTTCATTACATATTTATGTACACATTTTGACTACATATTATTCCGGTCTCTATTAGTAAAGGCGAGAAGGGCTGTTTTAGCACCTGTCTTTTATTCAATAAGTAGTAATTTTTTTGATGAATCAGATGATATTAAATGTTACACACTTCACCAGGGATTCCGAGAAGAAAACGAAAGAAAAAAAACTGCTGCGAAATTCATTGCAACTGGAAGAACTGGCTCTCGGTCGACAAGTTATGCTGTGCAAATGATACATTGTCGGTACTTTTTATCTTGAGGTGCAAGACAAAATTTCGCTAACTTAATATTTTGCACCACACAAAACCACAAACTATTTGACGATGCTTCACTATACGAACTTGCCACATACTCTTACCAACACATCATCGCCGCCCAAAATACTTTTTTTTTAATTCTATTTTTTCTGTTTCTTCTTACTAGAAGGGAAATATTATTTTAAAAATATTGAAGAACAGTAAAACATCATAAATGGAAATTTTCTTTTAAAAAAATTGTAGCCGTTTTAAGAAAACGTCGTTTAAGCCCTGCTGTAAATTCGAAATTTGAAACTCTTTTTGACAGAACTTTTTTAAGTTGTCGAAAATGTTCCTTAGAAGTCATGTGAAGTATTTTAACTCACATATACAATAGTGTTCACAAATCGCTGTAAATGTGCATATTAACATCATAAGAGATCTTTAAAATAAATTACATTTGTGTAATTTTAGAAGAAACAAAAAATACCATGAAATGAACTTTACGTCATATTAAGAGTTCAATTACATATATTTGTTCGGAAAATTTGAAATAAAATTGAAGCCGTTTTTGAGAAAATGACATTTGAGCTTTTCTGAAAATGTGGGATTTTGAGCTAGTTTTCACAGAAAAGGGTTGAGTTTTCCAGAAACGTGAAAGAATATGACATTATTTAAAATGGATGTACTCATAAATATTATAATGTGAACAAATTGCCGCTAATATAAATATTAACAACGTAAAGAGGAGTAAAAAATTGTTTTTATGATTGTTAAAAATTCAAAAGGATATAGCAATGTGGCGTTAATGTCATCTTATGGAGTGCTTTTACAGCTATCCCTACCCATAGCAACATAGAAAACATTTTGAACCTTTTTTGATAAAATCAGTTTTTTGTAATTGTTTAAAATTGCAAATTTGGCATGCAATATTGGCGAAAAATATTAAAAGTTTTTTAAAATGTACATGAATTTAATGAAAGAACTCACGCTGAACAATTAGTTTTATATGAAGGAAAAACCGCTCTCTTCAATTTTGTAGTTCTAGAAAAACGCGGAAAAAATTCAAACTTGTACAGTTTTCGAAAATTCAGAGATAACCGTGAAAATCTGACCTTTGCCACTTTTATAAGTGCATTTTACTCTATTCTTATAAGAATATAACGAAAAAAAGTGGAGTAGTATATGAGAAATTTTTGAAAATGTCAGGGGCTTCATGTAAAGTACCCGCAAATTTTGAAGAACGTTTTGCAAACTCGCGACGCCTCCAGTGAATATCCAGCCATATCGTTCGGGTAATATCCATTTTGTAAAATATCGTACGTATGGTTTAGACGCTTGTGGTGTTCACGGACTGACAGGTGGACGGACAGAGAGACGGACGGATACACTGACGGATACACTGACAGACACACTGACGGACACACTGACGGACACACTGACGGACACACTGACGGACACACTGACGGACACACTGACGGGCAGGCTGACGGACAGACTGAAGGACAGACAGACAGAGGGACTGACGAACAGGCAGAGACGGGCTGATGAACAGATAGACGAACTGACGGACGGACAGACAGACAGACGGACCGAGATTTTGAAAAAAAAACAACAATTTGTTCGGTACTAGGGGACCCCAAACGTGTATTTCCGTTGAAATCTCGAAATCGATTTTCCGCAGCATTACATAACTTTCTTTATAGTAAGTATTTTACCCAGTATGTACGCACGTATACATAAAAGTAAAAGTACGTGCGTCAAAGTATACCTAACCTGTGTATAGAATAACTGGGAATCATAGAAACATTTCAGGCTATATTTCTGTGGCAATGTATTTTCGTGGTTTTAATGATGAAACAAAACATCACGACTTAACAGATATATTGGCTTACACAGACTTCTCAGAATTTTTAAACTGTCACTTATACCGTTCTGGTTTTCACCCATCCAAATAGAATTCAATGACCAACAGATTCTAGCAGTGGAAAGAAAGTACATAGATAGAATAATAGTGAAAATGACCATGAATTCAACGACTAAATTAAACTCGTTCTCAAACAACTATGATAATATAATTAAATAATTGCAGGTGAAACAAAATCAGAATAAATTATTAATTTAGCGAAGAGAGCCACGAGGTTTTAAAATTTTACTATTTTTTTCTTTTTATTCTGAAGTTCACTAAAATGACGAAAGGTTCCTAATGTATTTTTGGATCTCTATTGAAAAATTAAAAAAAAGAACTTCTGCCTCACCTTTTGCAAAGAGCAGTTGCAGAGAGTCCTCATTGACTGCACTAATTTGTATAAGTAGGAAATGATAGCTCCTCATATCGAAATGACTACATCACAGGCGCTCTGAATTGGTTGAATTGGGCGTTTTCAAGTAAGACGTTTTCAAGTGAGACGAGATATTAGTAGCGGAGAAAGTGCAATATTTTAGTATTAGTTTACGTAACTCTTTCCAATAATGTGAGAAAGCATGTGCTGTTTAACGTGACTAGTTTTTTTCATATACCCGCCTGGCCGCCTCTAC